AAAGTCAGAATGGATTATTTCGTACATGTACGCTGCTTTTTAAATCGGCTCACGTAGAACAATAATTTCTTCTGCCGGCGGCACTCTCCAACTGTATTACTGATATCCCAATTGCGTTTCGTTGACGGCATAACTGATGATCCCACGAGACCGTTGTTTCAAACGGTGTCCATTTATAAGTTGCTCCTATATTTCCTTCTCTAGATTGCAGTGCCTTAGCAACGGTTCCTTCTTATCAAGAAAAGGTGATTTTTTTTTTTTTAGTTGGTCGACACCTGAGTGGAAAATCTTATCAAATAGATCCACAAAAAAAGATGGGTCATCGTCGTTTGGTCCATAAAGCACCACCAGAGTACATCTGAAATATCCATCGAACTCGACATTCATAATGATGTAGTTACCTAAATCGTCCGAAACATAACTATGAACTATCACCGGCGCCCCAGGGCTGGGCAATACCACTATGCCTCTTGAATTACCGGATCCACAACTCATGAATACATCAGTGCCCCACTCCGAGCGAATCCTATCCTTCATTTCTGGGGTAAGAAAAGGTGAAATGATTCCTCCTATACAGCCGCATCCGTCTATTTAGTATATACAGCAAACACATTTATAGCAAATATCTGCAGCTACAAAAACTGTAATAAGCAGACAGCTTTTGTAACGATCATGTGGCGGCTGTCTGAATGATAATTCCCGCCAAAAGCTGTGGAAAAGCTTGTCTGCACTCTGCACTGACATCCGATTGATCTGGTGCATGCTAAAAATACCCGAGAAGTTGTATTACTGTTTGTTTGGTTTGTTCCAGCCTCTGGAGGGCCACACTCGACGGCCATTTTATACGCCTGCCCGGTCCTTTGGTCTTTCGGTTCATCTGACGGTCCTTGTATCCCTTGGGCTTTGGTACTTTCTCTCTGGTCGGTCAGGGATGCAGGGTGTTTGTTTAGTGTCACCATCGCCATATCCGGCAACAGACAGCCACCGTGGGACGCTCGAGACGGAATACAGAGCTCTCCAGACGGCGAGCGGTATCTGCAACTGTCACCGGAAGCGCCGACAGATGGTGTCAACAGACGGGCGCTCCCGCCCCCGTCCGGCACAGGCCGCGGAGGGACACGGCTCGCTGCCTTCCCGGACGGAGTCAACATCCTCTGCCAGTCCACTGACTATGCGCTGGCCAGGACTCTAGCCGACAGAATAGTCAGAATGACGACCGAGCGACAAAGAGTCTACGCTTGTCGAATGCTTTCAGGTCATTCAGCCACTATGGAGCCCCATATAGTGGACCATCGCTATAAGAATAAATCCAGCCCGGTGGCCTTCCCGGAGCTGACGGATCGCTGCAGTGTCCGATCGGTCTCTGTCACACTCGGCCGTCGGCGAGGATCGTCCATTGAGGCGATACACCTCCACCCACACCCTGTCGGCGGGTGGCGACCTTTGGCAGCGGGCCGCGGTCGTAAATTCCCCTCCCCACCGGCGGGCGGCGGTCACTCCGACTCAGTCCGACCGACACGGCCGATCGTCGGCCCGACGGACGGACCCGGGATCGATCCCCAGCCGGCGCCGGTGAGCGCCGTCATTTCCGTCGTGGCTGTTTTGCGCTCGACTTCAGCGTGCCTACACGGCTAACCATTAGCCGGTAGTGCACCATTAGAAGGGCACGCCGCTCATGACGCGGCGCTCCAGCACGTGCTAGCCGGCTCCGGAGGGGCCCATCGCCGGAGACGGTGATCGGACAATCCAGCTCTGAGAAAATAGACCGCCCGTCACACAGCCTGGCGAACAAAAACGGTCCCTTGTGTGTGTGTCAGTGTGTGCAATTTGCACATTGAGCTCAGTTATGCAGCCGCCTTTTGATGGATTCCAGGAGATTGCATGGAAGACTGACCGAATTCCGTGGTCACTCTTGGGGCCTCATAACTTACCATCAATATTCACGAATGTATTTGATGCTTACAAGCTTTTCATCCACCCAATATGGCAAGTGAATTAATTTTTGACCAGCGAATATGTCATGTCATAGACTTTGGCAAACTATTCAGCTATCATTCCCACTTCGCCGAAAATATTGCAATTAACTCGAGGAAATTATGCTGTAAAATGCGAGCGTTTACAAATACTGTGCAAGCTTCATAGCATTTTCCGACGACTTCCATTGTCAATCCAAAGCCCTGTATAGGGTCTAAGTTCTTATCATTATTTTTCTGCAGCCGTGACGCCGCGACGGCTCAGTCTGGGAAGGTAGGCAGACCCGCAGCGCACCAGTGCCGCGCGGCACAGTCTGCCTAGCTATAGCCTATTACAACCAAACGGCTCCCGCTGAGTTCAGCCTGGCATTTAGGAAAATTCGCCAAACACTCTGCTTCAATGGAGGGTTTCTTACCTTTGCACTTGTATGTAGGTAAATTGAACTAAAATCCGCATCAAATAAGGTATATACAGGTATACAAATAAGGTGTATGATTAAATATGATGCGTATAATAACTATGTATTAAACGCATAACGCAGGGGCGAGCATCAATCATGGCGACGAGGGTTTTGTTTTATTGTAGGTGTATCTGTCCGCCTGTCTGCCTTGTCTGCTATAATTATTTACATATGTATATTGATTGCATAGCATTCTTGTACTTACTTGCAACTTATTAACTTACAGAGAGACTGGAAACTAAGTTCTTTCCCACCGAGTATTGGGCGCCTCTTCGCAAACACAACATATACTTTGTCTTTAAAAAATCACAAAAAAACAACAGACGTTTGGAGTTTGGACAAGAACGAAATGGTGGGTCAATAACGTCTAACTCAGCTTGCCTTTCTTTGAAGATACCGAAACGGCGCCAGGTATTTCTGAATTCCATTAGATGTCCCTTCCAATTAATTACCTGATGTGCTATATCAAACATCTACCACGTTCGCTGTGAACTCAGCCGCCGGCTGTCAACAGCGGTCAACCATAGGACGTCACGGCTCTCAAACAGGCTGCTCAAATAGCAGTCCAGAGGGACACCGGAGACGGGCACTGGTGTTCTGTCGACCTTCCGTCCTCCCCGCTCCGCCCTGACCCCGAGTTCGGCTCCGGTATCCGTGCCCCCTCCCTCCCCCTCCCGGTTCCACTCTCGGCACTGTATCGGTCTGGCGGGCTGACCATCACCCAACACGACCTAATCAGCGCTCTCTTCTCTCTCCGGCCGCGAGTCAGCGTGTGTGTGTGTGTGTGTGTGTGTGGGGAGGGGGATTGCGCTCTTTTCTCTTGCCACTCGAGTCGGCTGTGTGTGGGGGGGGGGAGGGGAGGGCAGGAGAACTACGAGAAGGGCAGCAGAGGCAGGAGAAAGGGCAGAACCATTTATTATTTTGTCGCTGTGTTGCACATAATTTTGTCTTAGACGCGTCCAATTTTTTCAAATGAGACAAATCATACACGGTCACGCACTCATTCCACAAATTGATCGGCAAACAGTCGGTACATGATTTCTCAGTCAACCTTTTTTTGAAATAAGTGATGCGTAAAAAAGTCATCTCAAAGAACTCTTCACTGAAGGAGGAATGCGATGCAGATGCATCCATTAATAGGTATACCATAAATATACGTAAGTAATTAATACAAATATATCGCCTTTAGTTATTTCGGTGCCCACTATAGATCGCGATGTTACGGCACACCCATTCCTACAGGTAGAGGTGGTTATGCATGGATAATTAGCTGTAATTGCCCCCTCATTTCACCATTAGTAAGGGCTCGTAGCTGATAATGCAACATGGGAAAGCAATTAAATAGAATAATGGTCAGTGTTGTCCATCAACAATTCATGCGTGGCATTTATCACGCTAATCTAGAAGGCTCACGCTAATGTAGCACTGTGCACCGTGGTACAATGCATACAGGTGTGAGAATGAAGCATTTATGTCAGAGTATAAGTAGCATTGCCCGATTCCGCCGACTCGCCTTCGTTTCTAACGCACTACATGCTTGCTAACTCTGGCATTATGCATTGGTTGGTTAGCACGGTCGTGAGACGTGAGACGACCGGGAAAATATTTTGGTTTTGCTCATCCCTTCTGCCGGAATATCCTTCCTACCGGCTATATTTGGTCTCAATGACAACATAGCCGGGAGCCCTGAGCCTGTACATCTATATATAGGGCCTTGTGCATATCTGGTGTGGCGCCTTGACAACGAAGGCTATAGGTATCATGGGTGGCTGTCAACTCCTGCCTTTATAAGATGGACTTGGTCAATGCTCAGTGCCCATCATGGCATTGCTAGTTCTCCTCCCCTGATCCGAGCCGCCCTGAGTTTATTTGATTTAATCCATTTCTCCAAGGTAGACTGCTGGGCGAATTAGCACAGACGTTCAGGTCTTCTAAAACTAAGTTGAGCGCCCCGACTGACCTAAGTGCCCGAAGGACTATGGGCCGCGCATAACTAACCTGCGGGATCCTTGAATTATCTGAGGCATTCCTAGCCCAGACTTGAGATACGTCTGGCTTGAGGCCTTCATTTTTAGCGCCGGGCTAGCATTGGACAATTTTTGACACGCACCGTAATCCCATACTGCACGGAGTCGCCAGATCTCAGATCCTGCAGATGTCAGATTCCCAGATCATGTGACGGACACTGGCCGGACCCAATGCACCACACGTGGTATCCGGTGTTCCACGGAGCCACAACAAATGGCTCACTTTGAGCGTCGGACAGCCGCTGAGAATGCCCACCTGCCACCGACGCAACCCATCACCGGCTTCTCAGTCTTACCGACTGCAGCTAACAGCGTGACAGGCCTCGAACAGCTTCCGATTGAAACTGAATGGCGCGCGTCTTGGACTGTTAGCCACACACAGCTGCGTTTTAGACGAGAGAACGCCCACACATCCTAGGTTCCAGTACATGCACAATCGTCGCCAACAATGTGCTGCAGCTGACATTCATTGAACGCCACTGACAGCGATTGAGCAGTGTTGTTTTCAGCGGATTTTTCAGCGACGTCTTTTGTTTCAGACGCGCGCCGGGCTGCTGGTGGCTGCCGCTCTCTGCCTCACCAGAATCGGATGCTGCACGAGCCTGGAGGTCCATGACGATGGTATGCAAGGGAAGCTATTGTTTGTGTTTGTGCTTATACTTTTGCGTTTGGTCAAATAATGTTAAAAATTTGTCTGAAATGACGAACAGGCACGAACAATAAATTTAAAGCGTGTAATTATTATTAATCCCAAGGCTGATCAAGGTGACAGGGTCATCTACAGTTTTTCTTCACAGTGAGTCACTTACCATCATATCGTTTTTTTTTCTTACTAAAAATAAATAGGTATAGGTAGTTGGTTAAGTTCAACTTTGATGCATGTTGTTTCGTTGATTCATTTAAACGGCTGTTGAAGGAGTAAACGAAAAACTAGCATAAATTTGTAAATATCTATTGGTGGTGGTTAGGACTGCAGTTTCTGCACATTGAAAACAGAACTTTGCTCCGAGATTTATTGTGGCAGAGAAGATTGATGTTGCGACCAACCTCTAACCGTTGCGACATTTAAAATAATGTCCCGGTCCCGGCCATATCTCCGACAACTGCTCATTGTTACTGACGCATAAGCGCATAGAGAATACGTGCATGGGTGATGTAGCAGCGCATTTGGTAGGTCATCACGAATTTTATGTGAAATAATTTACTAAAATTGATGTTATTATTATTAAAATCAATAAGAAATTGCAGACGAACTCCGTATCATACTGCGTGAGCGCTCTAAATTATAGTTCACCGTAAAAGGCGGACACTGGATTTGAAATATGTCCTTTCCACATTGCTGCCTCGCACAGATAAATGGTTCGATTTAACGTTGTGCGACTCAAGACAAATTGAGGCAATTCTCGTTTTCTCAACGACAGAAACCGTTCACGGGTAGAGGTTAAACAAAATACAGGAGTATCAGTCTACATTCACGGGGCTATCTGCCGGAAGTGGAACGACACGGAACTGTCGCTGCTACTGCATGCATGAATGCCTCTGTTACATGCGTTTTGTCATTGCAACACAGGAAAATGTCCCCATCAATGTCACAAGAGACCGTCATTGCGCTTTGAAATCGTCACTGCGCCACGCGAATGTCCCTGTCACTGCCCCATGGTGCCACATTCGACTGCTTCCTGCAATACCGCATCGCCATGATAAACGCCCGAACGACTGTGATAACTGCCGTTTGCATGAATTAGACACGTTATTAAACATTTTAAACATTTCTCATATCAACTCTGCTGCTGGAACGCATCGGGCGATAGGCTATCTGACAGTCGTTTGTTTTAAAGTTTTAATAACGATGTCCTTGAGCCATAAACCGCCTGTGGGGCTGCAGAGGGTGTCTTCGCCATGTTGTCTTTTGCTGGGAAAACGCTTAGCTTAACCCGCGCGGGGCTGGGGGGGGGGGTAAATTTTACCCCCCCCCCCCCCCCTCGCGTATTTTTGCAATATCTCAAAAACGGCGGCGCGCAGTTTTCAAACTTTCAGTACCTTTTCTTACATCAATTTGACACGTTCCCTGAAAATTTGAGCGAAGTCCGTCGGATGTTTTTTGAGAAATTGACGTTTTAGTGACGTCATGTTCGCCATTTTCGCCTCAAAAACGGCAAAATTTCAAACGCCGCTAACATCTTCATTTTTAAAGCAATCAAGACGTAACAAAAAAAGGTTATACGTAATTCTACTTTGTCTATCAAATGGCTATCTCGGTTTTTTGAAAATTTTGGATTTTGGCCCAATTTTTTTTTCTTAAAAAAACTGACTTTGGGAAAATAGTTATAAAATCCTAAATTTTGAGTGTATAAAAAAACGGAATATATGTCAGAAGTGGTCTATGTGCACCTACATATCAATTTTTAGAAGAATCGGTTCAAAAATGTGGGAGTTATTCAAAATTTTAGAACGTCACGACACACAAAATTTTGAAAAAATGAATTTTTTGGAAGTTCTAGACCTCGTACGGAAACAAAAATAGCACCATTCGATTTGCCGTGAAAAACTGCATCAGATAGACACCTTTTTAGGCCTTATTAACCTACTTCAAAATTTGACCTCACTTGACCTGACCTTGACCTGACCTCGACCTGAAATTCATCCAGAGGTGGTCCATATCACTTATTGAGTGTGTCTATTGAATTCTATGAGTAAAATGACCCATAAAACATGTGTCGCACATGCCCTTTTCTATATTTTGTTTTTGGTGACCTAACCTGACCTGACCTGACCTTGACCTTGACCTCTGAATGATATTGTATGCAACGAATATTGTCTTGGTAGCCTAAGAACACGTTTTGGGCGATCAGTCTCAGTCCATGACTCCGTTCTTCGGCAACTACGGTGCAAGGCCGATACTGTAGAAACTTGCAATTTGTCCCCTTGACCTGACCTTGACCTTGACCTCAAACTTTAAATTAAGTACATGTTTTTAGTTGTTCGTGATGAGATCTTTCGATTGGCGTTCGAATTTTCCAAATCGGACCATTAGTTCGGGAGATAACAGGGGGGGGGGGGGTAAAATTTACCCCCCCCCCCCCAGCCCCGCGCGTTCGGCTGGAGACCCCAGCCCTGCGCGGGTTAAAGGTCATACTAAGACCCTCTGGCTTAAGTCGTAGGATTTTATTATGCAATCGTGGACCGATGGGGTCAGCCAAGGTGTCTATAAACGGTGCAGGAAAATACTTCCATGACAGAGACGCATGGGTGAACTGATTAAACTGCGCCGCTGAAGAAAGGCGTGTAATGGGGACGGTCCTTACCCTTCAGATAAATTCAATCTTCAAGGTAAAGGTTGATACGATATTCCAGAATGATTACCTAAAATGTGTCTAGACACGTTTGATTTGCCATAAATTTTCAGGGTGTAAGTTTCTATGCAAAGTTTACTCAGAAGGCTGTGAGGAGGAAATCAGAAGTGCAGTAGGTAGTCAACTGGTCAATGGTCATTGGTCGCGCATTATAGCTTTACAACGCATTTCAGACAAGCCAGATTCAGACACAGATGCCTGAGCCAGCTAGCCAAACAACAAGCGATTGCGAGCAATAGAAACAGAGATACGTGGGAAGAGCTAATAAGCAAACACCACCAATATCCTCCTTTTATTTTGTGCGGGCAATACATGCCAGGGAGGATTGGGCCGAGACATATAGACCACGCATTGATCGGTGCGAATCTGTTCGTAAGTGAAGACATTTGTTACGATGTTACGCATAAATCACCAGTTCTCTTTGGTCACTGGTCAGTTCTCTTGCCTTCACCAAAACATGAAAAACTCTCAGGCAATGCATTAGTAGCATATCTGACCTTATTGCATGATTCTTGCTTTATAATGCGGCCAATCAAACTATCATAAAGAAATGTTAAAAATAATCCCTCGTTCATGATGTGTGGCATTAAAATATATTAGTGATTATGTGGATATTTTTGTGACTTTTCCTAAATAACAGTAAAAATTATGTGCTTTAAAAACGATATTGGTTAAATACACCTAGAGAACGATATCGGTAAACATATGTGCATATTAAAAACCTTTGAATTAACAAGCCGGTAAGCATAAACTGCGGCCTACCACGGAGCTCGATAGCCCAACGTACTTACCTATTGACCACTGAGCACGTGCACTAAAGAGGTCGTAAGTGCCTCTTCCTGTGGGTTCTTGTTAACATGCTCAGTCCATTACGAATCAGCAATCAGCCGATCCTGACATTGCCGTTCGGGCCGGTTGCAAATTGTGTGCGGTGCGGTGACTTATTTTCATTATCTATATTTTTTCTACTTCGAATTAGCAGCCCTGTGAAAATTTCCCCTCCTAAAAAGTCATGTTGTAAGCGTGTTTGAAGGCCGGCGACGCGATACAGCCCTCTTGTAGTCCCTACCGTGCCACATTGAGTCCCTGTCCCACAGACGGAGTGCTGTACAAGACAGGTGGGGACGGGATATAATGGGAAAAAGGTGGAAACGGGGGAACGACAGGCGGGGTGACGATAGGCGGGAGACGGGCGGAGAACGAGAGACAGACAGTAAAGACGAGAGACCGAGACACGAGAGATGAGAGACGAGAGACGGGAGATGAAAAGACGAGTCTGTTCAGCTAGAGGAGCCACCGCGTCCAGTTTCAGAATCGAAAGTCACTCTTAAAGAGACTGGAAGCTCTCCTCATATCTATTTTTAGAACTTTGTTACACAAATACCTATCCTGAAATCAAATCAAATGATTTACCTCATCTCTCATTCATGCTTTATCATTAGCCGGCGTTCGGGATTTCATTGAAAGTAAAATGTGATTTAGCTTCAATGGAAGCCCGACATTTGCCTATGAAAGCACGTTGCACAATCTGCATCTGAAATCTGCGTATTAGTTATATCATAATATCACATCGTTCAGGAATGCCGTCGCTGTGTTACCCAGGGCTGATGCTCAGTTGCATTATTTATAATAAATAAAAGTTAAACCAATTGATACTTAACTCAAGACCAGCACATTAAAAATGGGCGAACATGCTCACACATGGTACTCCTCAAGCACCCCATGCTGTACTTACCCCATTCACATGCTCTGGTGGTTACCAGGTGCCTGGTCACCGGCTCTGCTCATTCAATCTGCCGGAAAACGGTAGTAATAGTTCATTTATAGTTTTCTTCAAAGCGAAAAGCAATATCAACAAGTGAGAAAAAAATCAAATTCGAAATTTGTTAAGGTGGTCGGCTCTTACTTCTTTCATATTTTTCAGAAAGCAGTATGTTTTAAACTGTTATCAAGCCAATGCCATATTGGTACAGCCATCCTAAAAACAGAACACGTTCGGTACTGAATTCGCCTTACCTATCATCTCCCATACTGTCCCCGACGTACACATAACCCTCAGTCAGTAGCCGCCGACACAGCTCTCCAGTGCAGACCCACCCGCTCGGGGCTCAGAGAGAAGCGAGTTCACGGCGGCTGGAGGTGCCCACTCTGGGTTTAATTGGCCTGCTCCGAGTTTGACGGTTGTTGTACAAACATTGGAGCATGCTGCCGCTCTTTTGTCTCCACACTGGCGTATAACCACACTCAAACAAACACATCACGCACACAGCTTGTTGCTCGCTGAAGTCTCTGGTCTAAAAGCTCGTATAAGATAAACGTAGGATTATCGGAAGCATCAAAACATTTCAAAGTAATTCATCTTGTATCAATCATCCGCACTTGCCAACTATCTCCCATACTCAATTCATACTTCTCCACCTTCCGCTACCACTCACGCAAACCCTCGAGTGTCAGAGGAGCATTTTCATTGTGCTTATTCATCCCCTCTATGAAGTTCGATTGTACAGTGAAGGTCGAAGGTCACCAATCGGTCCGGGTGTCCCGACCAGCGGCCTCGTCTCTGGTCGTGACGCGCCGGAGTACGACCACCGACCACTGACCACAGAGGGTGCAGCGTGGCCCGGACAGTTCCGCTAAATCTGTAATAATGCATAGTGGGCAGAAATGGCCACTGATCTCCGTTTGGCCGATAGTGCACGGGCAGTCAGTCAATGGCGGTCAGAGGTGGCCGATGGCGGTCAAATGTCAGCCGTCATAATAGATGACCTGGCGTTCGCTGGGGAATGCTACTTAGCCGCCGGCCCAGACGGCACAGCACTGTGTAGTGTTTGTTTATTTATTCCAACACATCGGGACATTAGTGGCCATTGTGACACGGTCCCTGGCGGCCATAACGATCCATAAAACCGCGAAGCGCTGAATAGATGAGGCAAGGTGTGTTCCGCTTTCTCGTAGAAAATTTCATGTAGAAGTGAAGGCAACGCAATTGTAGTCCACGAAATGAATCATGAGAGAGGAGTGTATTTCATTGATCTCAATTTGTATGCCATAGGTAATTGAAAAAGACGATTTAAAACTATTTTACGTAATTTTATTCACTACGTTATTTTAATACCACACTGCATTTTCCCAGTGTCTGCGTATCGATGACGCTAACAGCTTTTCATTTTGAACTATTTTAAACTCATAGAGGATATAAAAATCAAGTATTTCTTTATTATCATGACCTTTCCTCTTTTTCAAAAATATGCTGAGCCAAAATTATATCGTTTTAACGTTTTCAAATATATCGGCCACAGGCCTTCATCAGTGAAATATCCAAAAGGATATTTCACCTTTTGGATATTTCATATTGGACCTTTTGGATATTTCACTGATAAAGGCCTGTGGCCGATATATTTGAAAACGCTAAAGCAATATAATTTTGGCTCAGCATATTTTTGAAAAGGAGGAAAGGTCATGATGATAAAGAAATACTTGATTTTTACATTGATAATGATCCTCCAACAAGCACTAAAACAGATACAACTCAGAAACAGCCAGAAATGGATACAATAGAGGATATCATAAAAAATGTTTGACATCACCTATGTATATAATATATATTCTGTTTATGTCGATGCAATGCCTCATCTATTTGTCTAACTTTTCTCTTCTCTTCTCTCTCTCTCTCTCTCTCTCTCTCTCTCTCTCTCTCTCTCTCTCTCTCTCTCTCTCTCTCTCTCTCTCTCTCTCTCTCTCTCTCTCTCTCTCTCTCTATCTATCTCTCTATCTCTCTCTCTCTCTTTCTCTACCTCCCTCTCCCACCCTTCCTCCTCCACTTGTATAACTGACCACTGTGTTCGTCTGTCCCCAGGTCAGAAGGAGCCGGTCCCGCTGGGCGCCCAGACCCTCCTGCGGCGACCTCTCTCCTCTCAGAGGGACTCTCAGCGGCAGTCTACCTGGACCGCAGGAGACGACACCAAGTGGAGGGTGGCACCCGGCGACCGGGACAGGGCCCGCGGAGCCCTCGGCCAGGCCCTCGGAGCCTTCCCTCCCGTCCGGAGGGTGGCCGTGGCACTGAAGAAGCGCCGACCAGAGATGGACTCCAGCGGATTTTATGGGGACACCTTCAATGGAGGCCTGGGCTACTTCGACACAATGAAAAGGAGACCAGAAATGGATTCTAGTGGGTTCTATGGAGATACGTTCAACGGTGGAATGGGATACTTTGACACGATGAAGAAGAGAAGGCCAGAAATGGATTCCAGCGGATTTTACGGAGACACATTTAACGGTGGAATGGGCTACTTTGACACAATGAAGAAGCGAAGACCAGAAATGGATTCTAGTGGGTTCTACGGAGACACATTCAACGGTGGAATGGGCTACTTTGACACAATGAAGAAGCGAAGACCAGAAATGGATTCTAGTGGGTTCTACGGCGATACATTCAATGGCGGTCTTGGCTATTTCGACACGATGAAGCGCCGGCTTACCAGTAAGCGTCGACCTGAGATGGACAGCAGTGGCTTCCATGGCGACGTCTTTTCTAACGGCTTTGGCTTCTTCGACACGATGAAGCGGCGAGCAGCGGAGGCTGGCTCGGACGAGGATGGTTCTCCCGGTGGTGCGGGACCAGAGTTTGACGCCATCAAAAACCTGCAGTCGCACCAGACTCAGTCGAAAATGGCCGATGGAGAACAGGGCAACGGATCGGAGATCCAAGGTGGCCGGTTTTTCGGCGCGAGCAGGGGCGCTCTCGACGCCAAGCGATAAAAAGTGGCAACAGCGCGGCGGCCCCGTCCAAATCGGGTTGAAGGTGTGGCGTCAATAACAAGATCGCCACCCCGCCAAAGCGTAGTGTGGAGTCTATGCTGAGGATTTCCAGATCCTTTCCCTGGACTGGAAGTTGCAACAACATCATGTGAATAGCGCGAGGATGCCGGTACCGACAGGCGACAGCAAAAGGCATGCTACCACTCAATATTCATTTAATCGCTACGTAATTTTCTATTGCGTGCTACAGAGCGTGTCAAATATTGATGTAAAAATGTTTTAAAAAGAAGACGAAGATGCACAGGATCTCATTGTTATTTCCAAGATCATTATATGTTGCATTACCCCGAGAAAATACGTCGTGAATTCTCATTCGAAACTAGTAAATGCATTCGCTCAACTCTATTTTCCCATTTAAAATTCAAACAATTATTTTATTTGAATATAAATCAGTTTTATAGCCGTTATGCAGTCAGACGTTAAATTGTATTATAATAATATTTGTTTCATGCATGCATGTATAGCCAGCATTTTGGCTGGTCGTCATTTTATCTAGTCATTGAATGGCTGTCGCTTTCCTATCCTTTCCGATGCATCTGATTCGGAATGTAATAAACAATGGCGCATACATTGATCGTATGGGCGCAGTGTGTCCTCCCCGGAACCCGCTCGGCTAACATAAAAAGAACGAGGGCTGTAGATAGATGTCATAGACATTATATAGACGCAAAACTATGTAATACATACGCTACCTATTGCACACATGAATCTAGTCATTATTCAGTAATAGGTGCCAGACGACTCGGTGCAAATGGTACTGGATGTGTATTGCGAACCGCGTGTAGTAGCCAGCCATCGGATGGCCTTTCAGCTGCACAACCGGTACATCCATTCATGTTTGCTTGTGTTCACGTCTAATGTAATGTGAAGAAAACGACCGTGTCTTTTAGCCCACTGAAAACGGATGAACCCGAGTTAGCTGAACGTCCTTAGCCGTAAATTTATCCTAATCTGAGACAGGTGTGGGGTAACTAATTACTTGACGTTCTGCTAAAGGCACACCATTTATAAGCATCTAGAGCAGAATGTTAAATAGCTTCACAAGCATAAATACAAGAGCATCGATTTCGATTGGCTCCTTTGATCTCCTGGTCTAAAGTTTTACTAATCAATTAGCAAACGTACTCCGCTTACTCCTCTAACGAATGCCGTAGAAAATCAGGGCGACTCGGGGAGCAGATTAAAGGCGTGTAACCATTTACCACGAGCCACCTGTTCCCGTGCCAAGACGGGCCATGAACTGCATGCACTGCATGGTTCACTTTTCAAGGCTTACATAACCTCATCTACGGACCATGACCACGTCTTGCATCAGTTGGACTTATCGCCGTTTAACTGCAGACCAAATAACTGAGCAATCGGTCCAGGCAGTGAGGTTCGCTGCCAGCTGACATAAGGCGCGTGCCATCTGTCATGACAGCCATTCATCATTCATGCATGTCAATAGAGGTCAAATGCCAAATAACGACGGATAGATTGCAATAGATCGAGTGATTAGACCCGCTTAATAACAGGCTCAATTCAGAAGAACGATTGGACCGTTCAAACAATCTGTCGTGAAAACGGAAAAGCGCCGCGACTGAATTACACTCTTATGTAAGCTACTCGAAATTTTTAGAACGCTCATCACCCTTTTCACTACATCCTTATCCATGGCCGATGAGCCAAGGCTAAAATTTGTGAACATTTTGAAGATAGAAGGCAGCACGAGCTTTGCAGTTTTCATTCAAGAGTTGTCGGTTTGTGGTATGCGACTTGAGTCAACTAATTCGTGTTTCTCTCTTTCCTCGAATCTTTTCAGATTTATGAAATTATCAATAGTCGACAAAAATTTCACAAGGTCAACGTTTTTTTAAATGCCAAACATCCACAAAAAATAGCTGTAAAAATATAGCTATAGTATAGGTATAAAAATGAGTTCTTAGAATTACAAAACTCAAGCTGAAAATACTACACGTCGTTGGAAGAATGCCCATGGACCGTCCCCGTGGAGTCAGTGTTGGGCATTTTCCCCGCGCGGCCGGCTATCTGTGCCGTTTGCACGCCCTGCGGCTCCTTTGAGACACCGCCCTGTGTCGGTGTGACCCTGATGTCCGTCGTCGCTGTCGGCACGGGTCTGTGTATCGACGGGCGTTTCGTCAGCGTCGACGGCGCTTCCGTCGCGGCACTTACTGTATGAACGGACAGGGCCTATGGCCGTGCATTGCGCAATGCGCACTCTGCAAGCATATATGCATGTAAGATTGCATGAGCCAACAACATCGTCGTATCAGTGCAGCGCCGACGCCGGGGGACCCCCGTGCCGACTGCTGTTTGTGCACGTACACACGTCAAAAGACGGCCGATGTCCACTGATATGAGACATTCGTGATGGAAAATAAGTCGTTTCGCCTATGGTTTCACTATCACCACGACCATTTTCTTCAGTTCCAGGCCATTAAAGTCTGGCAGACTTTCGATAAGTACCTCAATTTTTACTTTCCACAAATAATTTACATACTAGAAGGCAAAAAATGGCATTGTTCATTAAACTAGGGGAAGTGTTTTTATGCTCCTAACTTAGTGTACGTACTTACATAATACATTGTAGCCGTTTTCACGACGGCCATCTGGTACACATTTGGTGCACATCTGGTGCAGATCAGGTGCAGATTTGGTCAAATCAGGTTCAGTGCGTCTCTTAGTAGCTATCAGCTTGAATTGCACTGACTGCTTATATGCCTGCTTTGTTATACTCGTATTATCAGAGAGCATCATCGATTAAATAAAACACTGAAATAAATTCATAAAATAAAAATATTTGCTGTAAAAGAGATTAGGTGCAGATTTGGCCTCAAATCAGGTGCAGTCGCCGGAAAGCCCGTCGTGAAAACGGCTATTACCTACTTGCTAATAAAGCTTACACATTTTAGCAAGTAATGAAACATTTCGAGGTACCTACATGCTCAGCAACCTAAAGTCCTTCATTTCGATTTCAAATGACCGTCATATGTACATTTAAAGTTAATGAGCACAAATATAAGGTCACAAAATATTCCTTCTCCATGCTAGTAGGTTACACGATAAATAATGCACGAAATTCCGTGTATTTAGCCAGATGTTTCAGAGGGAATGATCTGCTACGACAGTTAGACTCGGCGTGTCTTGAGGCTCAGAGGCACATGTGTGTATCGGGGAATGTTTGGGGCAGCCAGGTGCGGTTGGTCACCGACTTTACCACGCAGCGGCATGGAGGAGCGAAAACTTATGTAAAAGGCGAGTACCTACATAGTCATGCGACATAACAATAAAGACGTTCATAAACTGAAAACCCGAGCATAAACCAGACGCGCACTTTAGCACGAAGCGAGTTAATTAACCCTCGCCCGCACATGCCATTTTCCCATCCTAGAACGCACATGGGGGGGGGGGGGGTGGTTGCCACCCCCCCGCGCCATTTCGTTCCTGTTGGAGATAGAGCTTAGCGGTAAGGACCAAAAAGATTCTTTGGGAAGAGACGAATCCAATGATACCCAGTTTTACCTTCTCAGGTCAGTCGTTGACCTTCCAGGTAAGGTCAAACTAAAAAATGTTGCTGTTTTGGGTCACCGTTGGATATCAAGTGCGCTGCTTAGCATATTCCGATGACGATGCCGTTTTCTGGTGCCAAGCCAGCTAGAACCTCTTTGTCACACTACCCGACCAGATTTTCGTTGCTGAGGTCATTTCAGGTCAAGCTAGGTCAAGGTCATTTATATGTGTTTGTATGTCTGTGTGTGGCTGTGTGTATACTGATGTGTACACCGATTGTTTATGTGTCCATATTACATGAAATCATGATCTGATAAGCTTTTACCAGAAATGCAGTCAAAAAACTTCACAAAAAGTAAATTTAGCTTGCCTAAAACGTAATTATCTTAGATGACCTAGGTTGACCTTGACCCTGACCTTGACACCTGTACATCGTCGAACAACATGTTCCATGATAGGTGGGAGGTAAGACTGGCAAAAAAGGCCGAAATCAAGGTGTCAAAAGCTCACAAGGCCCATAGCAAACGCAAGATGTTCAGAATTGGCCATTTGGGTCATGACATGACCTGAAAAACAAGGTCATATCTCCGAAACCAAAGGTCACAGAAACTTGAAATTTTCGGTGAACATCAAGAAAGGATAGAGGAGCAGCTATACGAAAAATCAGCCTTCTAGCTCTAAAAATGTCGAGTGCAGAGCAGAAAGACTACCTGGGGGGGGGGGGGTGGCAACCACCCCCCATGTGCGGGCGAGGGTTAAGTATGGTGCACTCAAATTGCACGATTTGGATTCTATTATGCATTTAAAACCGACGTTAGGAGACCGTCACGGGAAGCCAGATAACGAGCCAAATAATACATAATGCACGTCAACACCGAACATATCAACGTTTTGCTCCAATCAGCCTATGTTTTATCCGTTTACATTGTCACGCGAAGCTGGTAGCTCGAGTCCGTCCTTGAAAAAAAAAAAATCGGATGTGTAGTGAATGGTGCTGACTGCTGGCCGCCACCAGACACCCCATCCATGAAGATTACAAAACACGTGTGAAAGTTTGATTTAAGAGGTTTTACTTAGGCCCTCAGGCTAAAAAAAAGATGCTTATTCCATGGTGGGCTGCTTTTAACATGTGACACGAGCAACGTAAATACAAGATGGCACAGACCTTTCAGTGTACTTATCCACCAAAGTAAAATAGGTCTTTTAACAGAGAAGCTGTCATCATTGATCCTTCTAGCCATCTTCTAGCCGGAGGAGCTGGATCTGGACGCGGTGCTGCCGCCACGGTGTCCGGTCATCACTCAGACGTCACCTCCGCTCGGCGCACCACATAATCCGGCCTTTATTAGAGCCGCGACGAAGTGCACTCATTTGTGAACCGACACAACCCGAGGCGGAGCGGTTTTTCTGCTAAACTCCAACCAGGTAGTCCTGCGGAGTTATAGGTAACCGAATGTGGAAAATACGAAAATTGCCTCTTAGCGCCGCAAATTAAATTAATTAGCTCCGGTATCTACCTAATCGTAGCTAGGGTTTATTATTTATATTTTTTTCAGTCTTTAACGTCCGATGCTCAATTCCTTACTGCACATCGGGTGCATGTAACATGCGGGTACCGTTTTACTCATATCCGGGTGTCCCAGAAGTCTTGGAGCCATTTCGGTCACGTATTATTCGCATGTGCACGCACAAAAAACAAATAAAACTTAAAGATATCAGTTAATTAATGTTTTATTACGGAGCGAGCGAAGCGAGCGGAGTCTTTCCTTAGACTAACGGAAATTTCTGAGTATGAGCGGCCGGCCGGCCGTGCGGACGCTTTTGCGAGGCTTA